CTGTTGAAGGACAGCTGGTTGTTTCCAGGTTTTGGCTACTAAAAGCTGCTATGAGGGCCGGCCCCAAGGCATAGTGATTGGAGTTCAGCACACTCCTCTTCCGGGGCCTGGGTTCTCAGGTTTGGATCCCAGGCGAGGACCTACACCACTCATCAGCCATGCTGTGGCAGTGACCCACATACAAAGTAGAGGAGGATTGGCATCGATGTTAGCTCAGGGACAATCTACCTCAAGCAAAAGAAGAGGAAGATTGGCAACAGATGTTAGCTCAGGGCCAGTCTTCCTCAGCAAAGGAAGGAAAAAGAAAAAGCTGCTATGAACATTCAGGTTTTTGTGTGACCATAAGTTTTCATTTTTCTGGGATAAATATACAATCGATGAGTAGTATGATGGTTGCATGTTTAGTTTTTTTAAGAAACTGACAAACTCTGTCCAGAGTGGCTCTACCATTTTACATTTACATCCATGTAAATGTATGAGTGATCCAGTTTCTCTGCATCCTCACCCGCATTTGCTGTTGTGACTATTTTTTATTTTAGCCATTCTGATAGGTGTGTAGTGACATCTCATTGTCGTTTTAATTTGCATTTCTCTGATGGCTAATGCTATTGAACACCTTATCATGTATTTATTTGCCACTTATATATCTTCTTAGATGAAGTGTCTGTTTATGTCTCTGGCCCATTTTCTAATTGGATTGTTTGGTTTTTTACTGTTGAGCTTTAGACGTTTGTTACATCTTCTAGATGCTTGTCCTTTGTCAGATACGTGGTTTGTAAATATTTTCTCCCAGCCTGTCGCTTGTCTTTTGTAGAGCAAAAGTTTTTAATTTTGATGAAGTCCAATTTATCAATACTTTCTATTATGTTTATGCTTTTGATGTCAAGTCTAAGAACTCTTTGCCAAGCACTAGATTGTGAAGATTTTTCTCCTAAAAGTTTTATAGTTTTGTGTTTTACAAGTCTGTGACCCATTTTGAGTTAATTTTTGTATAAAGTGTGAGACTTAGATCAAGGTTCTTTTTTTTCCTGCCTATAGACATCCACTTGCCTCAGCACCATTTGTTGAAAAGATGATCTTTCCTCCATTGAATTGCTTTTGCACCTTTGTCAAAAATCAGTTGGGCGTATTTGTGTGGGTCTATTTCTGGGTTCTCTATTCTTTCCATTGATCTATCCCTTTGCAATACCACATAGACTTGATTAATGTGGGTATATAATAAATCTGAAAATCAGATAGACTGATTCTTCCTACTAGGTTCTTTTATTTTTCAAAATTGTTTTAGCTTGTCTAATTCCTTTGCCTTTCCGTACAAATTTTAGAATAATCTTGTCTATATCTATAAATACTCTTGCTGAGATTTTAATAGGAATTGTGTTACACCTGTATACCAATTTGGAGACAGTTGACATTTTTACTCTGTGGTCTTCAAATCCTTGAATATGGTATGTCTCTCCATTTATGTAGACCTTCCTTGATTTATGTCAGCAGCATTTTGTAGTTTATGGCAAACAAGTCCTGTAAAAGTTTTGAGAGGTTTACACCTAAGTGGCTCATATTTTTTGAGTGATTATAAATGGTATTATATTTTTTATTTCACCATTCATGTGTTCATTGCTGGTATAAAGAAACATAATTGATTTTTGCATGTTTATTTGGTACCTTATCACTTTCTTGAACTCACTCATTAGTTCTAAGAGTTGTTCTGTAGATTCCCAAGAATTTTCTACATAGTCAATCATATAATCTACAAACAGGGAAAGTTTCATTTCTTCTTTTCTGATCTGTATGCCTTTTGTTTCCTTTTCTTGCCTTATTGCACTGCCTAGAACTTCCTGCACTATGTTGAATAAGAGTGGCCTTGTTTTTGATCTTAAGGGAAAGTATTCAGTCTTTCACCATGAAGTATATTGTCAGCTGTAGGTTTCTGCAGATACTCGTTATCAAGTTGAGGAGGTTCCCCTCTATTCCTAGTTTTCAGAGAGTTTTTTAAAAATCATGAATGGGTGTCGAATATTGTCAAACGCTTTTCTGCATCGATTGATATGATTAGGTGATTTTTTTTCCTCTTTAGCCTGTTAATATGGTGGATTACATTGATTACTTTTCAAATATTGAGCCAGACTTACTTCCCTGGACTAAACCCCACTTGGTCGTGGTGTATAATTCTTTTTATATATTGCTGAATTCCATTTGCTAGTATTTTGTAAAGGATTTTTCTGTCTATATTCATGAAGGATATTGGTATGTAGTTTTCTCTTTTTTTGTACTGCCTTTGTCTGATTTTGGTATCGGGGTAAAAACAGCTTTATAAATTGATTGGGAAATTTTCCCTCCTCTTCTGTTTTCTGGATGAGACTGTGTAGAATTGGTGTTAAATCTTTTTTAAACATTTTTTAGACTTCTCCAGTGAAACCATCTGGGCCTGGAGATTTCTTTTTTGGGAGTTAAACAAAAATTACAGCTCTGCACTCGGCCTCTCCTGACACCTGCCTGGCTGGAAGGGGTGGAAGTGCCTCCTTACTGCTCCGCATGTGGCCTCCAGTGATATCACCACAGTGTGTGGCCAGGGAGGGGGGATGGCCTCCTTAAGGGTGGGCAGTGGTGAAAGTTCTGACTCTTCTCACTAGGCCTCTTCTGAGAGCAGCCCTCGTGGATGGGGAGGGGCACTCTTTACTGCTGAGTGTGGGGTAGAAGTTCTGGCTCCCAATTCAGCCTTTGCTGGCCTGGGTGGGGCTGGGCCACAGTGTTTTCTGTGTGGTTTGGCTGGAGTAGAGGGATTATTGTCTAAAAGTTTTCCATCTCACTAAGCTGCCACTCTCCCGGTCCTTGGCTAGAGAGAACACGCTTTTGTTGTCCGTGCCCACTGGCACTCCAGGGCTGCCAGCTCCCTCAGCGCCAGGCCTGGGCCAGGGAACTCACCACTTGTTGTTCCTTTGGGTCCCCAGGTCCCTAGTCCATCTTCCTTCTCTACCTTTCAGACTCTTATGTTTGTTTTTATATAATGTCCAGGGATTTTTAGTTGTACTTTTTGGGAGGAACAGGGAAAAGTACATCTAGTCCATCTTCCCGGAAGTAGAAGCTCTAAGTAGTTTTCTAAATGGTGATTTTTCTTTCCCAGAACATAAAGTTGGAAAAAACATTGAAAAATTTAAAAATAGGTATATTAAAACTCACAGTGTTCTTTTAGTTTTAAATATATATATATATATATTTTTTTTAGGTGATCTTTATACTCTTGATTTTATTGATGAAAAACCAAGGCACTAACATGTCATGAACTCTATGAACACAGTTTCACGTTTAGAATATCTGATAACATACTTTATGTCTTAAATTTCAACAGGATACCATTCCTACATTATGTATACTTATTTAAAGCCTGGACCAGTATCATCCTGATTAATAATGGTATACATGCCACCATAGAGCAGAACCAAATTAATTAACCTGTTATATACTGTTAAATTTTTATGTTTCTAATTTGTGGTTATCAAAAATAATGTGTTCAACATCCTTGTACATCCATTTTTTGTATTTCTATAGATATTTAATTAATATAAATTCCTAAGAGTAGAATTTGGGGTAAAACAATGAGATTTTTAGTAAGTGCTTATATGCCAGACCATGCAATCTTAGTATTTGGTGTGGTAAAAAGACTCAAATGTGGGGCCGGCCCAGCGGCGCAAGCAGTTAAGTGCGCACGCTGTGCTGCGGCGGCCCAGGGTCTGCCGGTTCAGATCCTGGGCGGGCACTGACGCACTGCTTGTCAGGCCACGTTGTGGCGGCGTCCCATACAAAGTGGAGGAAGATGGGCACGGATGTTAGCCCAGGGCCAGTCTTCCTCGGCCAAAAGAGGAGGATTGGCAGATGTTAGCTCAGGGCCAATCTTCCTCACAAAAATAAATAAATAAATAAAAGGTAGTCGGTAAACCCTTTTAAAAAAAAAAAAAAAGACTCAAATGACATAGTTGCTACTATTATGTTCCCTCTAGTAAGTAAGTAAACCCTAAATAGGAATAAATGCATCAAAGGCCACTTGTGACATAGTCAATGATAAGTAACGTGACTTGGGATTTTATAAGGCAGTGATGTCATTCTGACTGTAGCCACAATTGTCAGGTTATGATCAAACTATGCTAACCTGTGAAAGCACTGAGATGGTAAGGAATTTATGTTGTAAATTTTTACCTTACATTTTTTTTGTTGATGTTTTAATAGTTTATAACATTGTGAAATTTTGGGTTGTACATGCTTGTTTGTCCATCACCATATATATGTCTCCCTTCACCCCTTGTGCCCACCCCCCACGCCCATTGCCCCTTAAATATTTTATCTATGCCAAAAACATAATTTATTGCAGTTTTACTTCCCAGGCTTGAATGGAAGCAAACTCATCAAAATAATTTTTTTTTCCAAATCTACTGCTAGAAAAAAATTAACCATTAACAATACACAAAACGTGTATAGAGGGGAACACGTGTGCTTTGCCTCAGGCTACAATATGGTAGGGCATGGCTCTGTTGGAGCCTCTCTTTATGTAAAACTTTGATACTTTATCATGGATTTTTTTTTTTTGCATTGATTTTGATGTTTAAAAAAATATTGCATTAAATATTTATCTTGATGACTGAGATTATTGACATCTGCTTAAGTTTTGCATCCGAGGCGATAGTCCCAACTGAGCTAGGCAATGTTTTGTTTGAGTAAAGTGGTGGTCAGCCTCTGGATATCTTTACCTCAAAGGGGCAGATTAACTCAGATTTAGAGAAAGGACAACTAAAGAGGCAGCATGAGTCTTCCTGGATATGAAGGTTCTCCTGGGATAGGATGCTCTATAAATAGGATGTAAGAACTGCAGAAATGAGGGTCCTTCAGCTGAGCCCCACCAGGGCACAGGCTGTACTGGACATAGCGGACATTCCATTGGGGTGGGACCTCTGCTCTCCCACTCCCATCCAGCTGTGAGAGAGAAGGTTCCAGAACCTGCATACCACCAGGACAGGAAAAGCAGGAGCTTCCAGGGCTCTTGGGGACTGTTCTAAGAGTGGTATCTTTCTCATCTGATTCTTGTGACAGAGGTAGGTGTTATCACCTCATTTTACAGACTAAGCAGCTTAGGCTGCCCCTTGGGGACAGAGGATTCTTGCTGCCATCCTAGCTCTCTGCATGCCATCCTACCTTACCCATCACTCTGTGCCTCTCCTGTGCCCGCTCTGGGCACACACTCAAGAATGCCTGGAACACCTCTTGCTGCCTGGGCTGCAGGCTCAGCCACCCCAAGAGCAGCTTGATGTCACCCTATTGCCCTGCCCTGCGAACACAATGTGCTTCCTCCATTCCTGCCCCGGCTATATTTAGCACTTTCCATGGTCTTTACCACCAAAATATTCAACCCTTTCTCAGGTCTGAAGGGGGGCAAATCAGAGATCTTCAGAGACGTGTGGTGGGAGGAAGCTTTTCTCTAGCTACTTCTTATTTCCATCCTCACCCCTAGGTCTTTCCCACCCTACTCAGGTTTTTGTTGAAATGCCCAGGTTATTAGAACATCACAGCTGGGCCAGGCCTGGGAGGAGGCTTGCTGAAGGCTACAGGCCTCTCGTGGTGAATAGTTATTAGTCGACCATTCATCAGTGGTTCCCAAATTTTTATCCCAACCTTTTTTATTATTTTTACCTTCATGAAGCCCATACTTCTAAGCTTTTACCTTCCCTCCAAATAAAACTTTATTAAGTAATAATTAATTTCCTAGTTTTTAGGTAGTCAAAGATTCATCTAACACTTCTGATCAGCATGAAATAACCAGTTGCTATGCTAACAGCAGAGAAACTTGGTGTTTCATTTTCTGTAAAACTCCATGCGTGATTTTAAATTATGACAATAGCTCTAGGTTCCCCATTACAATGGAAAAGACTTTAGAGATCATGTTGTCCAGGCCCCTCATTTTTCAGGCAGAAAACTTGCTCAGAGATAATAAGTTAATGATACAAGTTTACACAGTGAAACTTCTTTGGACAAGGAGGCATTGTTTTTCCCATGGGAGCATTTAGAGTTGGGGTCAGGGAAGAGCGAGGTGGGGGGTGGGGCACTGCAGGGGCTGTAGAGTTCTAGCTGTGCTTATATTCCCAGGCCTGCTGTGCCGGGGTCAGGTTCTGGGGAACTGGGCTGCAGACTGGTGATGCTCCAGCGCCCAGCCCCGCAGCATTGCTCCTTCTCCCATCCGAGCTTAAAGACTGAATGCCACTCTCCTCCCTAAGGGGTTGGATTTTTCTCCTAAAACCAAAGGAGGTGCCTTCCTTCCTTAATCTGCGGTTTTGGCATTGTGTTCTTTACTGCTGACCTGCCTTCTGGTCTCTCAATCTGGATTCCCAATCTACCCTGCATGTCAGAGATTTGGTAGTTATTTTCACGGTCCAGGAGGGTGGAGGATCCCTAACTTTCCGAAAGTGACACATGTCTGGGTCCCAGATATGTATGTGCAGGGGAGTCTCCAGTCTCTTCTAACAGGCCCTGCTTCCCAGGTGACCCGGCGCTTCGGGATCCCGGGGCTGAAGAAAACCATGGACTGGTTTGGCTACTACGGAGGCCCCTGCCGTGCCCCCTTGCAGGAGCTGAGCCCTGCTGAGGAAGAGGCCCTGCGCATGGATTTCACCAGCAATGGCTGGCTCTGAGGGCAAGGAGGGACATGCCCTGCCCTTGTTGGAGCTGAGCCCATCTCAGCTCCTGCCTTGCACCTGCAGCCTGAAGAGGAACATGGGGGACGAGGGTTTGAGGCTCCTTTTCCTCCTTCAGTCTCCAGGTAGCCTTTCACCAGGCACTGCCATGCACACCCATTTCCTGTTCTCACAGTCCCATGACTTCTCGCATTTTTGTATACTAAACTCTGGGTCTCTAGAGACCTTTAGTCTGGGAAGGAGCAATTGCTTGTCTCTCTACCATGCTTTCCTTTGCCCCAAGACATGTGAGCCAGAGCGGAAGGGCAGGGGGCAGCTGGGCGCAGTAAGGCCGGGTGTTTTACTGAAGGGAAGACTGCTTAGACTTGGGGATACAAACCTGAGTCTAGTGTGATGCAGCAGAAGCCAGGGCTATTCCTGAGAACTCAAGTTCTCACTCCTTTCAGGGGAAGTGGTAGGTTAGGAAACCTGATCAGAAAAGTGTCACTGGTCTTTGAAAGGCTCCCAAGCTGTATTCCAGCCACAGTGCCCTTTCCTAAATCCATTTTGATTGATCTCATATTCTTGTCTCTAACCTGATCTCAACCATCAAGTGCATGGAGACAGCCCAGTAGCTTGCCAGAATTGGTAAATAACGACACCTGGTGGATAAATGTTACATTCTAGAAGACTATTCTAGCCAACCCAGGTCTGAAACATTAGGGAAGCAGACTTGGCCTGAGACAGGACTACTTTCTTGCCTATAGGCACTCTGCTTTTATTATTAAAAATAACTACTTTGTTATTGCAATAAAGTTTAATAAGTAAAACTAGTGTGGCTATGTACAGAATGACACTCCACTGCTATGCAGATCTTAGGTTTCCTGCCCACATGTCAAGAACCTTCCGAGAGACAATTTAGCTCTCAGGGTCTGCTTTTTCCCAGCTCTGACAGAGGCCCTAATAATACTGAGCAAGCACAGGTATTAGATTATCAGCAGCTTAGGGAAAGGCTTAGTGAAGTTTCTAGTGGGAAGGTAAGAGGCAGAAAGGTTCAACTGAGATATTTAGGAACAGTGCATTAATCAAAAGGTTGCTTTCTCCAAAATGTTTCACATTATTCAGTGATATCTGATTAGTGGCAGAAAACCTGAGATGGACTTTCAAAAAATTACTCTGGTTAAAAAGAAAGGTAAACAGATTCTTATTTAGGGCAAAGGCTAGAGGAGAGAATACAAAAGATATCAATCTTCAACTGAAACTGGGCATCTGGCTGGCACTGAAGCATGGGGCTTTGCACCTGGGTTCTTCTCACAGGCAACTTCTGGAGGATCTGGACTCAGAGGAGAATCAGGTTTAGGGCTAGAACAGAAAGTCAGGGCTCGGGAACAGGCTAGTGTACTGGTGAAGTGCTCAGCCTCTGGGCTTAGACAGGCCTGGCTTTAAGTTCTTGGATCTGCCTCTTAGTGTCTAGGGACCTTTGGAAACTCCTTACCCACCCTGAGTCATCTGTAATACGGGGATAATAACGGTAACTTCCTCTCTGGGCTGTGTAAGATCACACATGTGAAGGGGTTGGCATGGCAGGTAAAGGTTGCATATTAACTCAGCTGAGGACGTGTTACTCTACTCGGTGCAGAGAAGAGGAATCCCTGGCAGGAGTGGATATGCCTAAGGTAAGCCAGCAGGTGTGACGACGACTGGTCTCAGGACTTGGGCACTTGGATGCTCAGGGTGAGAGGAGTACAGTGGGAAGTGCTTTGGAACCAGAGAGATGGGATCAAATCCCACTTGGTTCTGCTGCTTACCAGTTTGGGCAACCTGAGCCCGTCTGAATTTTTTAAAAAATGCTCCTGGGGCCATGCCTGTGTGTAGTGGTTAAATACGGCGTGCACTCCGCTTTGGCAGCCCGGGTCCACAGATTCAGATCCTGGGCGCGGACCTACACCACTCATCAGCCATGCTGTGGTGGCGACCCACATACAAAATAGAGGCAGATTGGCACAGATGTTAGCTCAGGGCTAATGTTCCTCAAGCAAAAAAAGGGGAAGATTAGTAAAGATGTTAGCTCAGGGCTAATCTTCCTCAGGAAAAAAAAAAAAAGCTCCTACCCTGCAGAAGTTTTGAGAATTAGATATTATGTAGTAAAATGTGCAGTGTCAGTTCCAAACCCCTACCTGTGACTAACTTTTAGAAATGGGTTGATATTCATGAGGACTCAGAGTAAGAAAGTCAAGAAAACGAAGTATAGGCAGTTCTGGTGATTTGTTTATTCCTCATAAAGACTTGTTTCTACAGTACAATTCAGAGAATAAACAGAGGCACACAGCTATGATTTCCACCACAATCTGCTGTTGAGGAGACACTCAGTGTGAGGACAAGGGGCTGGGGGGAGTGGCGTGTTTGGGTCACAGGGTAATGGAGGCCCCCGTGATGAACTGTGCAGGGATCCTATCGGTCAAGATCTGACCTAAGCCTGATGGAAGAGTTACAGTGAACCAAATGCAAAGACCCAAATGCTCTTTTAGTTCACTGCAGTCCTAGGATGGGTCCAATTCTATCTAAACCCCAAGGGTTGAGGTGGGTCTGACCTACTGGTCCACGGGGAAGGAGCTGTGTCAGCCCTAGCCATCCCCAAGGAGTCAGTTTACTCCATGACAGGGTCTGAAATGGCCCAGAGATGTCTGCATTTTGCCCTGGAGTGAGGAATAAATACAAGTTATGAGACAACTGGTTACATCAGTTTCTTTCTTGACTATCCCAAAAAGGGATCCTGTCCCACGTCTAAGGACGGAGAGAGGCATAAATGGGGCATAAATTATCTGCTGAAACTCAGGTGAGGAAGACAGCTTGTAAAGTCAAGGGAGAGGAGAAACAGCACTCTTACCAAACCCTTCACAGGGGGAATAAGCAGACACAAATACCAGTCTGGTCAGACAAAGTGGCAGGCCTGGAGCCATGATACCAACCAGCAGCGAAGGAGGGGCTCACATACAGAAAAGCTCTGGCCCTGACTCTCACGGACTGCTACACTGTGTAAGCCACCCTTATCTGTTTCCTTATTTCTCCAGGGTAGCACAAAGCACTCGCCCTAATTTGGGGTTAGGATCATCTGCCCCAAATATAAGCAGAATGAAGAGTTTCTGCATCACTTGGCAGGAAATGAAGTAGAAGGCGGCAGCAGGTCTGCCCTGGGTATCCAAGGTGTTAGGGACAGAGAGTCTGTACCAACAAGTGAGAGAAAGGGAAGACAGACTAGAAGCAAGTGTTGCAGGGCCTGGGCCAGAACCCTCAGGACTTCTCTATGACTGAACCCCTGATAGGCAGGCAATGGGCCCATCACAGGGCTTCTGCTCCGTGGTCCTTCTCATCTCCTCTCACGTCTGGGGCGTTTGCTCACCACCAGTGAATAACGGGGCATTTGCTCCACCCAATACCCGTGAGCTGTGCACACCGCCACATCAGGCAGTGAGGTTTCTGGCTGACTTGGAGGCACTCTGGGCCCGCTGGACGACCGCTGAACACTTCTCACGCCGCAGCAGCTTGTTGTTCTCAAACAGACCTTCGTTGCGGGGTACTCCATGAGAACCATCAGGGAAGGTCAGCAGGCCTTTGAGGGGGACAGAGGAAATATGGGAGTGACAATGGCATCAATGACTCAGAGATCAGCTTGCTGTGTAGAGGCCCAGGAAGAGAGAACCTGGCCTCTTCTCAGGAGAACTCCATCCGTGGGGTCAATGGTGAGGTGTCAGGACATCATCACTATGGACTGCTGGACACACAGAAGGATTAAAGCTAAAAAGGTGTCCTTCCACCCATGTTATGCTTGCCTAAGTCACTCGTCCTGCTGGGCTGCAACTTACCAAAACCATCGACTCTGCCATTTTTAAATTCCCCCTCAAAGGTCATGTTGTCGTGTCGAATGAAGACTCCAACACCATTGAACTTGCCCTGGGCAAACTCACCCTCATACCTGCAGAAACACAAGACGTTAGCTTTAGGGAGAGTGAGCCTTCCAGGTGAACTGAGTCAAGCAGCTACCAGTATGTGTTACTTACTAAAGCCAAGGAGTCAAGCTGATTCTACTCGTCTTAGGGCTCCCACTCCCACCACCCCACTCCCAACCAGCAGAGAAGGGTCAGAGAGTCCGTATGACATGAGGTCCTAATCTCAAGGAGAAAACATAAGAGAACAGCGGTGGGGTGGAAGGTCAATCATCTCCTTGCCACTTCAAAATTTAGAACTATTTATAAAGTAACCAATAAAAGAAATAGTGCTTACTCCTTTCGTGCTTTCAGAGGGCCTGGGACAAGCTCAGGTTTGGTCAGATATTCATCACAATCATTTTAAGATCAGACCCTCCCTCGTTTAAGGCTGAGAAAGAATGACCCAGTACCCACCTTGAGCCATCTGAGAAGGTCAGTACCCCGGAGCCATTAAAGAGCCCATTCTCAAAATGACCCAGGTAGGTGCCACCATCTGCAAACATCAGTTGACCAAAACCATGTCTGCGGCCTGAGCAAAGAGAAGGACAGGTGTCAGGCTGGGATGGGGCAGCTTCAGGGTCCCCTCTCACTGTCTAACCTCCCTTGCCTTCTGTCACCCTACCCACAAAGGAAAGAAGAGAAGCAGTGACATCAGCAGGCAGAGAACTATTACCTAGAATAATAACCTGGCTCCTGGGACCTTCCCATCTTAAGTCACACCATCGGATTTGAAGCAGGTCTCTCCAGGTATGCAAAATAAGAGATCACTTAAAAATAACAATAGCTAACATTTATAGCACCTTTCTATGTGCCAGGCACTCTTCTAAGCACCTGGTATTTACTGTCATACTTAATCTTCACGACAACCTTATGAGGAAGGCACAGTACTATTATTATTCCCATTAACAGATGCAGAAACCAAGGCAAGGAGAAGCTAAATAACTTAAGATCCCAGAGCCATTAAGTGGCAGAGCAAGAATGCAAATACAGCAGGCAGCCTGACACTTAAGTACACTGCCACTCGGAGAAAAAAATAAAAGTACCCCTTAGCACCGTGAAGCTATTGGGCGAACATCAATAGGGCTGAGCATCCCCATTGAACTGACCAGAAAACAGAGCCAGATCTGGAGGAGCAACAATGCTCTTCAGACAGAGTATGGAGGAGTTCTTTTGGTGGATAGAGACTGCCTAGCAGAGCCTCAGGAAGTCTCTCCTCTAATGGGTCATTTTAAAGGGGACAGCAAGTGTTTGGGAGGCAGCAGAAAAGCCTGGGGATGTATGGAGGCAAGGTCACATCCCACCTGCACAATTTCTCCTCTCAAGGCTCAAGAATTCATCAGCTGCAGGCATCTACTGTCAAAAGAATGAGGCACAGGTCTGAAAAAAGCGTGAACTGCTCTTTGCTGGCACAACTGTAGAAAGTCAAGTCCCCACAGGGCAGTTCCTGGCTAGCTAGGACTGGACCCTCGAGACTTTTAAGTGGCCAGACTGTTTCCAAACCGAACATCATTAAACTGCTTCCTGTATAGTCTCAAGCTCTGAAGAATTGTACCATTCCTATGAATAGATACTTCCAAACGTAATGAGCTGTCACAGGAAATTCAAGGCAATGAATGTCATTTGCTCTGGAGTGTCTGCCCTAATTTCCAGACCTTCCTTAATTTTTTAAGATTCACTGGAATCAAGTCACTGCAATGAATTCTGTACTTTCTAATTTATGGGCACTAAAAATAATTCATTTTACTCTGCTGAGTACATTAGCATTTATAAAAACAATTCAAAATAATACCACTAAAGGATAAAAGGATGTCAAAACACTTTAAATTTAGAAGTGGAAATACTTAACTTATTTCTGGAGGTTGGATTAATAATAACATTTTCTAATTCCTTTATTTATAATCCTAAAATTGAATAAAGGAAAGGCACTATACAGATTAAATCTTGGAGTTAGAAATGAAGACTCAGGGCCGGCCCCGTGGCTTAGCAGTTAAGTGCGCACGCTCCCCTACTGAAGGGCTGGGATCGGATCCCGGGCACGCACCGAGGCACCGCTTCTGCGGCCATGCTGAGGCGGCGTCCCACATACAGCAACTAGAAGGATGTGCAACTACAACATACAACTATCTACTGGGGCTTTGGGGAAAAAAAAGGAAAAAAAGGAGGAGGATTGGCAATAGATGTTAGCTCAGGGCCTCTTCCTCAGCAAAAAGAGGAGGATTGGCATGGATGTTAGCTCAGGGCTGATCTTCCTCACAAAAAAAAAAAAAAATGAAGACTCAGAAAGTTGGCTTATATATCCTCATGTATATGTGTCCTTCGGCCAAATGAAGGGTTCCTCACTGAATGCCCCCCAGGGCTCCTCTCACCCTCCTTCCACTCGCCACGATATTCCTCCCCACTGGAGTAGGTGAAGGAACCTTTCGTCAGGGTCATGGCGACAGCTTACAGAAGGATGAAAACTGCAGGAAACAAGCAGAGGAGAACCAGGGTCACAGCATGGCTGGAGGAAGGCCTGTGAAGCAATTTTGTAGAGACATTCTAAAGGCTACCAGTCTGCTAAGTATATACTTCCTTGAGTACATTTAACAAAAACACCTACTTCTCCAACCACCACCACCACCACCACCATCACCACCTCTGCCCAAGTAGTCTTATCCTCCTACTTCTCTTAAAAGTTCCAAGTTTCTATGACCTGGGATGGAAATTTAGGATTAATCTACAAATATTTACTTGATATCTACTATGTGCTTAGTTGATGTATAAAATATAGTTTCTTCCCTCAGTGAGTTTATAATCTAATTGATAAGACTAACAGTTGAAACACTGAGTAATATGAGAGAGAATATAATTAAGTGCCAAATTGGACGGCAGAGATTAACAGAGACAAGGGATGGGCAGAATTTAAAACAAACAGTGAAGAAAGCAGAGGGCAATTCCAGATGGAGAAAACATGGGGAATGAAAGCACAAAGAGCAACACAACATGGATGTTCATGGAAAAGCAGCCTGGTCTTACTAGAGCTGAAGGTTGATTTACGGAGTAATAGGAAATAAATTTGTCTAGGTGCACTCAGCCTAAATTTTAAATCTGAAAAGAACCTCTCAGATTTAATCCAAACTCCCTCATTCTATAGACGGAGAAACAGAAGCCCAGAGAGGTTAAAAGCCAGTTGGTGACCGTGCTGTGACTAGTGCCCAGGGCTCCCCTGACTGCTGCTAGTTCTTCCCCTGTACTATGCCCTCTGCTTGTAATGTCAGGCTAGCTTAAG